AGGAATGCTAGGAGGTGATGTATGGAAATGCTGCATAACAATAATTATGTGGCCATACTTGAAGAGGGACTTGGGGGCCACCATGAGCCTAATATCAACCCTGTGGAAAGAAAAGAGAGGAGAGAAAGAAGCCAAGTGTTTGGTTTGAGCTCCTGGATCAAACCATACCTGAAGAACACCCTATGGATTTTTCATTTAGCAGAACTAACAACTTCCTATTAAAGCAAAGGTGAGATGTTGTGTTGTGTCTCTTCTAAATAATATAAAAAGAGGAATGTGAATTTCATGTCCTAAAATTCCTTTATTCCACAGTACTTAGAATAATATGCTACCTTAAAGCATCCAGATGACTGAGATAATTATTCTTTTTAATGCCCATGTTGTCTTATTTAAGCACACATACAGGAAGTAAGTGCAACAGGTGGCATCTCCACGCAATTTTTTTTTATTGTTTCAGTAAAGCCAGTTGGAAGTTAGGCATGGAAAATACCACACAAAGGTTGCTCGCCCAGCAGTACAGGAAGCACTGCTGTTCACCACTGCTCCCACCTGATGAAGACAACTTGGTCTGGAATATGTTTCCAGCTGTCATGGCACTGAATGGGCTGGAGAAAACTGGAACTACAGTCACATCTTAGCAGAAGGCAGTGCCGGAGAAGTGGTGCAGTGTGGAAATCTTAAATCAGCCCAGAAAAATAGAATGTAAAGCAGGGGAAAGGCATCCATTTGGAGGCAGGTTTAAAATAAAGTCCTTGTGGAATTATACCATTGATTCTTAACCATGGCTGCACATCAGAGCCGCTGTATGCGTTTTTAAATTATATTCCTACCTTAGGCCCCGCCCAGAAGCTTCTGCTTCACTAGGACTGAGTGGAGCGGGAGCATCTGTAGATTTTTTTTAAATCTCAAGAGTTTATTCCGATGTGCATGCCCAGTTAGGAACTCCAGGAGGAAGCAGTATGAAATTCTGTATAACCTTGGAAATGCTGAGGTTAACAAAAAAAAAAAAAAAAAAAAAAGGAAGAAAGCATCATGAAAAGAAATTCTCAAAAAACAAAACACAGGGCTCCCCTGGTGGCGCAGTGGTTAAGAATCTGCCTGCCGATGCAGGGGACAAGGGTTCGATCCCCGGTCCGGGAAGATCCCACATGCCACGGAGCAACTAAGCCCGTGTGCCACAACTACTGAGCCTGTGCTCTAGAGCCCACGAGCCACAACTACTGAGTCCACGAGCCACAACTACTGAGCCCACACACCACAACTACTGAATCCCACGTGCCTAGAGCCCGTGTGCCACAACTACTGAGCCTGCGCTCTAGAGCCCATGAGCCACAGCTACTGAGCACGGGCGCCACAACTACTGAATCCCACGCGCCTAGAGCCCGTGCTCCACAACGAGAGAAGCCACCGCAATGAGAGGCCCGCGCACCAAAACAAAGAGTAGCCCCTGCTCGCCGCAACTAGAGAAAGCCCGCGTGCAGCAATGAAGACCCAACGCAGCCAAAAATAAATAAATAAAATAAACAAACAAACACCACAGCAGCAATGAATAAAAAGCGTTTCAAAGGACAAGAGTAGAGACATGGTCATGTGTTAAGTGTTTGCCAGGCTTTGGGGTGCAGATGGACAAGAGGACTGAAGGGCACTCACAGGTTGACCCTCCCTTCCCACTTCATACTTACGTCCAGAAGTTTCTAGGTGTGCTCATACTGAGATCAGGAGGATCGTGTTACTACTTGTAATTACTTTTGCTGCATTCTATGAGTCCACGTGTTTTTTTTAGCGTAGATTAGTTTATCAAACGTCAGCTGAGGGCCTGCTAAGCTGCAGGTGTGGGGACAGCCCTTGACTTTTGAGAAGCTCGCTGCCAGCTTGGAGAGATGGTAGGAAAGCAGGTAATGACGGGATGCAATACAAATGCAAGAAGCTGAGGGATGGGGGATGGGAGATGCGGTGTGGTATGACTTCCCCTATGAGCTGGGGGTTTAGAAGGGCAAATAGCCTTCATCAGGCAAAGCGCTGAGCACGTGGGTGGGAGGAAGGCGTGTGTCCAGGGAGCAGCACGACCTAATGAATAAACATTCAGTGAGACTCCTCGGACACTGCTTGACGCTTGAAGCCGGTTTCATCGTGTGGTGCCCCTAGAGGGAGACTAATCGACCTCCCCTGTGTTTTCCTCTCCCTTTTCTGAAAAAGAAATTGCGTCCTCCCTGTAAAGGACGCTGAAGTCAGTGGGCCCGCGCAGACAGGAGCAGCCAAGTGAGCCCGCCGCATCTCGCAGTGTGTGAACGAGACGTTCCACTCCCGTCCTACAGCGGAGATCCGGAGGCCGGATTATCAGCACTCCTAGCAATGACCTGGTCTCGCCCGCCGGGCGTGTCCCCGTGACGTCTGGCAGGGCCTGGCGGGTCAGCGGCCGGCCGCGGACTCGGAATGCCGGCGCGAGGGCGCCCTCTGGTGATGGCGGCGGGCGGGCGCCGGAAAGCCCGAGACCTTCCTCAACCTTGGCGCGCCGGGGAGCAGATCTACCTACAGGATCCGGATCAAAGGCCCGTGGGGTTCAGTCACAGCCCTGCCGGGCTGCCATTTCGGTAACGGGAGTGGGAGGAAGCACGTCCCCGAAGGCAAAAGGAGCCTTTTAAACCTTTGAAAACATATTCAGTAGAAAAGTGCTTTGTGCTCCTGCAGAGCCAGAGAGAGCGATTTTGAGGAAAGGTTCTTTTGTTCCTCGCGGTTGGGAAAGGTCACGTTTTCTTCTCCCCAAATCACCCGGATCAAGACACCTTAAGGAGGCCCAGGGGTGACGATCCAGAGCTTTTATTATATGGTCAAAGAAGTCTGGGATCTCCAGAAAGGTTAAAGACCCCAAGGGGTCCCTCCTCTGGAAATTCCATAGAGACTGTGTTCAGAGGTGGTCCCTGAAGCATTAGAGGTCCCCCAGTTCTGTGTTAATAACCCCAAATGCCCACCGCTGGGGGTCGAGAGTACGTAAGAGGCGGAGGGGCTTCGTGGTTAAGTTCTAGCCTCTCCAGCACCTAGCGTTTCCTCCTGTGCGGCGCGGGGGTCGGGAAAGCTGCGCTGGGTGGGGCGGTGTGGGAGCCGCCGGGTGCAGCTGTAGGGCAGTGCAGGTGGGCCTGTGGGTAGCGCTGGCGCAGGGCCGCGTGACGGAGGTGGCCCTGAGGCAAGGCAGCAGCCAGCCGGCGGGGCGAGGTGGATCGCAGGGGCTGACTTGAAAAGGTGGCCAATATGGGTCACGAAGTGGAAAACGTGCGAATCAAGGCAAGATGCCCAGTATTACTCCGTTTGGGGAACAATACAAACCCAAAACTATACGTATGGATAGACTTTTTGAGTCTGGAAATGAACACAGTGACTATTAATAGTGGTTACTTTTAGGGAGTAAGTTTGAAAGGGGTGCTTTTTTTTTTTCTTTTTAATGTACAGGCAGTTTATATTGTTGGTTTTTGGGTTTTGTTTTAGTTTATATTGTTTTTGAGGCAAGTGTTACTTTTGGAAGTGAGGGGGAAAAGGGAATGTGGCAGATTGCTAATAGTTAATCACAAGGTAAGGCAAGTGGTCTCAGTTTCCTGGTAATCAACAAACAGGGAGATATGCTTGTCACTGTAAATACCCTTTAACTCTTGGAATATTTCACCATGTGCATACATCCACTATTTATTACAAAAATAGTTTTAATTTTTAAAAATACAGGGCAATTTAACCTTGTATTTAGCCCAACAAAAATTCACTGAGTGTCAGGCACTGTACCAAGCCCTAAAGATAAGGAAATGCCTAAGTGGTCTCTACCTTCCCGGAGTTCATGGTCTAGTTCGGTGCTTCTCAAACTGTAATGTGCTTCCAAATCACCTGGAAGTGTTGTGTATTGGTTATTTCTGTATAATAATTCACCTCAAAACCCAGCAGTTGAAAACAACGAACATTTATCATCTAACATAGTTGCTGAGAGTCAGGAGCTCAGGAGTGACTCAGCTGGGTGGGTCTGGCTCTGGGTCTTCATAAGGTTGCAGGCTGGATGTTGGCTGCAGTTATGTCGTCTGAAGTCTTGACCAAGGCTGAGGATTCACTTCTGAGATGTTGTGCAACATGATTGTTGGCAGGGGGCCTCAGTTCTTGGCCATGTGACCCTCTCCACAGATTAACTGCTTGAGTGTTCTCACCACATGGCAACTCTGGCTTCCCCAAGGACGAGAGATCCTAGAGAGAGGTCTTTTATGACTTAGCTGCCTTGGAGGTCGCACTCCACCATCTCTGCCTCATGGTTTGTTATAAACAAGTCACTAAGGACAGCCCGCACTCAAGATAAGGGGAATTAGGCTCCACCAAACAGAGGAATATCAAGGAGTGTGTGGACATACTTTAAAACCACCACATCTTGTTAAAATGCAGATTCTGATTAGGTAGGTTTGGGGAGAAGCCCCAAATTCTGCATTTCTAACATGCTCCCAGGTGATACCACTGCTATTGGTCTGTGGGCCACTTCTATTTTTAAATTTAATTTAATTTAATTTAATTTTGGCTGCGTTGGGCCTTCGTTGCTGTGCGTGGGCTTTCTCTAGTTGCGGCGAGTCGGGGCTGCTCTTCATTGCGGTGCACGGGCTTCTCATTGCAGTGGCTTCTCTTGTTGCAGAGCACAGGCTCTAGGCGCGTGGGCTTCAGTAGTTGTGGCACGTGGGCTCAGTAGTTGTGGCTCCTGGGCTCTAGAGCGCAGGCTCAGTAGCTGTGGTGCACGGGCTTCATTGCTCTGCGGCATGTGGGATCTTCCTGGACCAGGGCTCGAACCCGTGTCCCCTGCATTGGCAGGTGGATTTTTTTTTTTTTTTTTTTTTGCGGTACGCGGGCCTCTCCCCGCTGTGGCCTCTCCCGTTGTGGAGCACAGGCTCCGGACGCGCAGGCCCAGCGGCCATGGCCCACAGGCCCAGCTGCTCCGCGGCATGCGGGATCCTCCCGGACCGGGGCACGAACCCGCGTCCCCTGCATCGGCAGGCGGACTCCCAACCACTGCGCCACCAGGGAAGCCCGGCAGGTGGATTCTTAACCACTGCGCCACCAGGGAAGCCCTGTGGACCACTTCTGAGTAGAAAGGGAATCAAAAACATGCAAAGAACTATAGCTCAGATCACATCTTTGGAATTGCACTGCTTGCATGAATAATATCCTTTGTCATCCTGGCATGATCTTTGGATGGTGTCCCATTTTAAAATCACATTTCCTCTGAAAGATCAGAGCAGTAAAGTAAGAGAAAGACAAGATTACCTTGTTAATACACGAGGACAAGCTGTAATGGAATTAAAAACAATCAAAGAGGGATTCAGAAAATCTCTCTGGCCTTGTTCTAGAAGATTTCAGAAGCATAAAACATCAGACATCAATTCTGAAGGGGATGCCAAGCACACAGCAGCAAATCTGGGCTTTTAATAAGGGTTGAACAAAGTCCCTTCACAGGACTAAGACTCCTGACTGCAATACTTACAAAATGAGCTTTGATACAGGAAGGCAAGAAACAGCCCCAGCACCTCAGAAGATCAAGGCTTCCACATGCTCTGCTGGCTTGAAGGCTGTACGTTAAAGAAATTGTTTCCCCATTCAACAGCCTGGACTGAATTTCCTTTCAAATATAGCATGAAACTACAAATCCTGTATTTTTTTTTTATTGCTATCATTCATACCATTCATACCATAAAATTCACCATTTAAAAGCCTACGTTCCAGTGGTTTTTAATATATTCACAGGTCCATCACCACCATCTAATTCTAGAACATTCATCACCCCAAAAAGAAACCCGAAATCCATTAGCAGTTCCTCCCCATTCCCCCCATGTCTTGAAGTCCTAGGCCACCACTAGTTTATTTTCTGTCTCTGGATTTGCCTGTTCTGGACATTTCATATAAATGGACTCATACAATATATGGCCTTTTGTGTCCAGCTCCCTTCACTTAGCATGTTTTTAAAAAATTATTACTGTAAAATATACATAACATTTACTGTCTTACCATTTTCATGTGTAGAGTTCAGTGGCATTAAGCACATTCACATTGTTGCATAACTATGGCCACCATCCATCTCCAGAACTATTTTCACCTTCCATACTGAAACTCTGTAACCAAACATCATGTTTTTAAAGTTCCTCAATGTTACAGCATGTAACAGTACTCCCTTCCTTCTTATGGATGAATAATATTCCTCAATGTTACAGCATGTATCAGTACATGCTGATATACTCAGCATATACTCAATGTTACAGCATGTATCAGTACTTCCTTCCTTCTTATGGATGAATATTCCATCGTATGAATATACCACATTTAGTTTATTGATTCATCAGCTAATGGACATTTGGGTTGTTTCTACTTTCTGGCTATTATGAACAATGTTACTGTGAAAATTCATGTACCACTACCTATTTGAACACATTTTCATTTCTTTTGAGTTTATACCTAGGAGAGGAGTTAACTGTACCATGGTAATTCTATGTGTAACTAACTGAGGAAATGCCGGACTATTTTCCAAAGGGGCTGCACCATTTTACATTCCCATCAGCAGTGTATGAGAGCTCCAATTTCCCCACGTCCTCACCGACACTTGTTTCTTTCCATCTTTTTGACTGTAGCCATCCTAGTGGGTGTAAAGTGGTATCTCATTGTGGTTTTCTGTAACGATGTTGAGCATGTTTTTCAAATGCTTATTGGCCATTTGTGTATCTTCTTTGGAGACATGTCCATTTGCCTATTTTTAATTAGACTATCTGTCTTATTGTTGAGTTGTAAGAGTTCTTTATATATTCTAGATACAAATCCCTTATCAGATATATGATTTGCAAATATCCTCTCCTGTTCTGTTGGTGGTCTTCTCACTTTCATGATAGTGTTCTTCCAAAAACAAAAGTTTTTATTTTGATGAAGTCCACTTTATTTTTTTCTTTCATTGCATGTGCTTTTGATGTCATATCTAGAGAACTGTTGCCTAATCCAAGGTCACAAAGATTTACCCTTATGTTTTCGTCTAAGAGCTTTAGAGATTTAGTGGTCCATTTTGAGTTAATTTTTCTATATGCTGTGAAGTACAGCTCTAAATTCATTCTTTTGCATGTGGATTCACATGCAAAACTCCAGCCTCTAATTTTGAAATCATCAGCAGGAAACGTAGAGAATGGCCTTCCTTTGGTTTCCTGGTAGCATTTCCCCCCAACCCCCAGCCCCACCACTCAGCTGAAAGATTCTGTTTTACAGCAAAACAATTTGTACAGACCAGGGGGCCAGGGGCCCAGCTCAGCATCTTCTCAATAAATCTCCACTGAATTTTGCTGACATGCACACAGGAGTAGTTCTGAATTACTAGTTATCTAAAAATGACTTCTAGTAAGGGAGAGCAATTTCTTCATTCAATCCCATCAACAACTAGTTATTGAGTGCCCATTATGTGTCAGTGATTAAAACAGAGATTTCTGCCCTACAGAGCTTACATTCTTGTGGGGAGAAACAGACAAAAAAACATAGCAAGTACATTACATAATATGCTAGAAGGCAGTAAGTGCTGTGGGGGAAAAGTGCAGAGCAGAGCAGAGCAAGGGGGATGAGGCATGTGGCGGGGTGGGGTCTGCAATTTTGAAAAAGGGGTCCTTTCAAAAGTGACATTTGAACAAAATATTAGGAGTTAGTGAGGGATTTGACCATGCAGATATCTGGGGGAAAGGATTCCAGGCAGAGGGAACAGCCACTGCAAAGGCCACAAGGCCGAAGCATGCCTTGGCACTTCAAGGAATAGGAAGGGGGCCGGCATGACCAGAGCAGATTGAGGAAGGGGAACTGGTCAGAGAAGGCCAGATCACGTAGGTCTTGTAAACCATTTTAGGGACTGTGACTTTTATTCTGTGGTAACTGGGGAAAGCCACTGGGAGGTTCTAAGCTGAGCAGTATTGTGATCTGACTTACGGTTCAAAGGGTCATTCCGGCTGCTGGGTTGAGAATGGATTGTGGGAGGACAAGGGTAAGAAGAACAGTTAGAGTGCTTCTAAAATAATCTAGGTAAGAGATGGGGTGGGAGGGACCTGAGTGGCAGCAGTTGAGACAGTGAAGAGGATGTGGTAGAACCTGAAGAATGTCCTGGTTGATGGGACTGTAATAGAGGCAGGTGTCAAAGGTGACTGTAGAGCTTTTGGCCTGAGGACCAGAAGGATGGAGTTGCCATTCCCTGTGATGGGGAGGCCACTGGGGAAGCAGGACTGGGGGAGGGGAGGCAGGGAGCTCAGCTTGGGGTGTGTGGAGCTTGGGATTCTCTTGACTTCCAAGTGGAGGGATCTTGTAGGCAGATGGATATTTGAAAATGAGAAACCTGGACTGGAGATACAACTGTGAAGGAGTCAGCCACAGGCAGGATGAGATACCAAGAAAAAGATGATGGACAGAACAGAGCCAGGGACCACACTCTGGGAAACTCTGGCACTGAGATCCAGAGGAGAACAGGAACAGCCATGGAGGCCATTTTCCTACCAGTTTGGTAGCTACTTATGTACGTTTTGTCCCTCCCTCCCTTTAAATGGGTACCTACTATGTACCAGGAACCGGAAAAGATGTTTAGCCCTCAATAAACTCATAGTCTTTACAGGAAAGACATAAAATGCACATTTATAAAATAATGGAGATACAGGCAATAACTGAGTAGGAAACTTGGCTTTTCAGTTGTTAACCAACTACACTAACTATACTACAGACATCTGTTTGTAACCTAGCACAAGAATTGAGAATTCATTTGTCTTCAGCGCTTCCCTCCCATGTTTAATTATTATCAGAATATTGATTCACTTGATCCCTTAAGATTAAATTCATGTTCTGTTTAGGAAAAAAGAGGTTGTAGAGGACTAGTCCACACTATCCTGGTGTCACAGTCCTTCAAAACAGGACCCACTGTGGCGAGTCGGCCCATCACGAGGTACTGATTAAACACAGGGCGCTGGGTGAGAGGCAAAGACCCAGTGACGTGATTCTTCTCCACGAGAAGCTGACAATCTAGTCCAGGGGTCCCCAGCCCTGACCCACCCCAGAATTGCCTGGGAGCTTTCGAAACCATTCTGATCCTGGGCCCCACCCTAATTCAGTCAGAATTTTTTCTTCACAACCTGAAAAATTCTAAAATGCTCTTCAGGACATTCTAATGTGCAGCCAGAGAAAAGAATACCACCGATCTAGGGTTTTTTCATAAATTTAACAATTTGAAAATCATAGAAGATTTCAACAAAGTATGAAAATTATAGTCCGTTTTGGCCCATTCTTTTGGGAACAGACCTAAAGGAAATGATTATAATTCAACTTCACAAATAATCCACAATTTAGTACATTCTCTGATGGAAGTAACCTGCTCTAAACCCACAATTCACAATAAAAACAATGTCAGTCGACAAAGGATTAATCTCCAAAATTTACAAGCAGCTCATGCAGCTCAATAACAAAAAAACAAACAACCCAATCCAAAAATGGGCAGAAGACCTAAATAGACAATTCTCCAAAGAAGATATACAGACTGCCAACAAACACATGAAAGAATGCTCAACATCATTAATCATTAGAGAAATGCAAATCAAAACTACAATGAGATATCATCTCACACCAGTCAGAATGGCCATCATCAAAAAATCTAGAAACAATAAATGCTGGAGAGGGTGTGGAGAAAAGGGAACACTCTTGCACTGCTGGTGGGAATGTGAATTGGTTCAGCCACTATGGAGAACAGTACGGAGGTTCCTTAAAAAACTACAAATAGAACTACCATATGACCCAGCAATCCCACTACTGGGCATATACCCTGAGAAAACCAAAATTCAAAAAGAGTCATGTACCAAAATGTTCATTGCAGCTCTATTTACAATAGCCCGGAGATGGAAACAACCTAAGTGCCCATCATCAGATGAATGGATAAAGATGTGGCACATATATACAATGGAATATTACTCAGCCATAAAAAGAAACGAAATTGAGCTATTTGTAATGAGGTGGATAGACCTAGAGTCTGTCATACAGAGTGAAGTAAGTCAGAAAGAAAAAGACAAATACCGTATGCTAACACATATATATGGAATTTAAGAAAAAATAATTTCATGAAGAACCTAGGGGTAAGACAGGAATAAAGACACAGACCTACTGGAGAACGGACTTGAGGATATGGGGAGGGGGAAGGGTGAGCTGTGACAGGGCGAGAGAGAGTCATGGACATATATACACTAACAAACATAAGGTAGATAGCTAGTGGGAAGCAGCCGCATGGCACAGGGATATCGGCTTGGTGCTTTGTGACCGCCTGGAGGGGTGGGATGGGGAGGGTGGGAGGGAGGGAGACACGGGCGGGAAAGAGATATAGGAACATGTGTATATGTATAACTGATTCACTTTGTTATAAAGCAGAAACTAACACACCATTGTAAAGCAATTATACCCCAATAAAGATGTTAAAAACAAAACAAAACAAAACAAAAACAATGTCAGTCAGTCTTCCGCTTACAGTCTTGCTTGGTCAATCTTAAACATCATTGTGTTTTAAATTACTTTGTGTTACCAGTAAACTCTTTTTTTTTTCTCTTGAAGATTTCTGTTACTTTCTTAATGATTCATTCATTCTTATGAAAAAATTAACTACAGACCAAACAAGGACCAGCTTATTTTGCTATAATCTGAATGCACCTGGTGAACTGTCAGCCGTATGGCCATAAAGCAGCACAGAGAAAAATCAACACTGGAGGGGCTTCCCTGGTGGCGCAGTGGTTGAGAGTCCGCCTGCCAATGCAGGGGACACGGGTTCGTGCCCCGGTCCGGGAAGATCCCACATGCTGCGGAGCGGCTGGGCCCGTGAGCCATGGCCGCTGGGCCTGTGCGTTTGGAGCCTGTGCTCCGCAACGGGAAAGGCCACAACGGTGAGAAGCCCGCATACCGCAAAAAAAAAAAAAAAAAATCAACACTGGAGAATTTTATTAACAAAAAAACCTCTCGCAGTTTATTAACAAATTCACAGAACAGTAACTGTACGTTTCCTTTTCTGCTATTGTCACTTGTTAAATTACTATCATCGTTTATACACAAGGAAAACTGGACATACTTTACAGTCTTTCTGATAAATAAATTGCCATGCTGCATCCAGCCTGGATAACGCTCTTCAGAACAGCGTACGCTGGAGCCTGTTAAAAACAACAACAATAAGCAAACCAAAGAAACCTGCTCTATGTTCACCTTCAGTTGTAAGGTACAGGCCTGGCATGGCAGGGTTGGGACTTCTCTGTATAAGTAATAAGATCTAAGAAACAATTTATTTTAATTGGGGGGAAAAAAAACCTATTCAAAAGATTGGAATGCCTCTGCTGCATCCAAAACGTTTGACCCAACTGGTTTCTCACCCAAGAGGGAGAAAGTGCTGGGTAAAAGGATAAGGAAGAGAAGCAAGAAATAAGATTCCCAGTTGGGAGAAAGGCATTTGCTGGCTTTCTGTCAGGCAATGTATTGGTTCTCTTTGTCTGACAGCCACTTTGTATCTTTCTGGGAACAGAAACCTTCCCATCCCTCATCCTTCCAAATAAGGTCACCACAAGCAAACAATAAAAGGGGTTCCCCACCAGTTCTGCGTCGTGTTCGAGGCCTATGTCATGGTGCTCAAGCTCTTCATCCCGAAATTTCCTTATCACCTGATTAAGGAAAAAGAAATGGAAGCAAGTCAGCCTACCAGCTCCCTGCTGTTCTGACTTATTTTGGAGACTAAAGCCTCATATTATCATCTAAGACACAGGTAGGCAAACTTTTCCTACAAAGGGCCAGAGTCAGTACTTCAAGCTTTTGGGGCTGTAAGGTCCCTGTCACAACAACTCAACTCTTCCATCGTAGAGGGGACAGCAGCCATGGACATGTAGACAGATGTGTGCAGCTGTGTTCCAACAAAACTTTATTTACAGAAACAGGTGGTTGGCCACTGACTTAGCTTCAAAAAAAATTAAACAGTTCCCTTATTTGCTGTAGAAAATTTCTGAGGATATTTATTTATTTAATCTGAAGGGTTTGTACTCATGGCATTTGCTCAGAATCTATCAATGATCCGGAAGCAGAGAGAATACAGGTCTGGGCTCAGGAAACACGGGTTTCAGTCCCAGCTCTGCCCAAGCACGTGACAGGGCATACGGCTTCAGCAGCCTCAGTTTGCTTGCTTTTAAAATGAGGTGCTGCCCTAGGTTTCTGAGGCATCGCAATTCCCTAACACTCTATTTTGTTCCTCTTACCAAACTGCATATCTGCCCTTCCCCCACAGCAGCCCCTTCCAGAGCCAGTCAAATACCTGAAGAAGCTCTTCATACTTTTCAGGCTCCTTCTCCATCAGCATCCTGATCTGGTTGTTGTAGTGGTGTGCTATGGACTCTTCCACAGCAACTGTGCAGGCCATTGCGCCCTCCTTCCCAAGCAGGGCAGTTCCTGCACCTGGAATTGTCAGACCCAGAAGGCAAAGGATGGGGCTGATACCACTGGGGATGGAGATCAGCTGAGGTCAGGGTTTGTCACCTTGGCACCCTGGACTCTCGGGCTGGATAATTCCTTGTTGCGGGGGAATGTCCTGAACACTGTGGGCTGTTTAGCAGCTCCCTTGGCCTTTACCCACTAGGTGCCAGTGGCATCCCCAGTTGTGACAACCAAAAATGTCTTTAGATGTTGCCAAGCATCCTCAGGAGCAACTTGCCCCCCTTGAAAACCACGGTTTTAGGTGGTACCAGATCACAGTGTTAAACCCTGAATCACATAGTAAGAATGTTCTTTTTTCAGTGCTTTTTCTAACCTTCCGATTATGGCAGGAGTGAGTCTTCACTGAGGGTGAGTGTGTTTTGGGTTCCTCTATACCACTGATTCCCCCCGCCACCCTTCTTTTTTTGGCCGTGTCTCGTGGCTTGCGGGATCTTAGTTCCCCGACCAGGGATTGAACCCAGGCAGTGAAAGCGCCGAGTCCTAACCACTGGACCACCAGGGAATTCCCTGACTCCCTTTTTAAGAGTGAGCAGATCTCAGGTTTAGAACCTTCATCGGGGAACACCATCTGGCTACAATTGAATTGCTCTAGCTTTTTTCCTCTCTGTTGTATTTATTTTCACTGTACCCTCTATTTATAAAAGTTCTGATTTTAAGATTCTATCTTAAATAAATGTAAGCAAAAAAAAGTCAATTTAACTTCAGAAAAATATTAAGTAAATTAAAAGGTTGTAAGAGGACACAGCAAGAATTGTAGAAGTGGTTATTTAATGATTCAATCACCCCAGATCCCTAAGCTCACACAGGCTCTTCTGGACAGACACATACCCAGTGCAAAGCCCAGCACATTCCAAAAGGGCATCAGAATGGTTGGCCGCACCCTGAATGCAACCATCAACTCATTGAACTTTTTCAAGTGGTCCTTTTCTTGATCCCACATTTTCTGTAAGAAACATAAAAACAAAGACATGCAAGCATTCCACAGAGACCGCCTGCTATATAGCAAGGAAACTAATGCCCTGTCCACGTGCGGTAAAGGAAGCAAAACCGGCAAAATGATGAGAACTGCTATTTCTCCCATTCCCCTTGAATCGTCGGAGAAAAACCCTAAACATCAGGCTACGGAGAAGAGAGTGACAGCAAACCAAAAGAAGCATCTGTAATCTTAATTCCAGAGAAGCGGACCCCGAACCATGGTGCCAGAAGAAGCTCCTCCGACCCACAACGCGCCTATTCAGGGACAAGAGTGCGCACCCAAAAGAAATGAGATGTGTAGCCCATTTCAAAATCAGAAGGGCAGAATATTACATTTTATATAAGTTCCTTTCAGAGAGCCAGAAATGTATCATTTACATCAAAGAAAAAAGGGAGAATGATTATAAGAGCTAACACTTAAGAGTATGTCCTATAGCCAAGTACTGTCAAATAGCTTTACATACGTAATTAACTTAATCTGCACAACTGCTTTGTGAAGGACAAACTGTTATTATCCTCATTTTACAGACGAAGAAAGTGAGGCACAGAGAGGTTAAGTAACTTGCCCAAGGGCGCAGAGCAGGCAATTTAACATGTGCTAAGTGTCTATTACACGCCAGGCATGGTATTAGCCGCTCTACACCAGCTCATTTATTCTTCACCAAAACCTAATGAGGTGTTAACAGCTCATTTTGCAGATATGGAAATGGAGAGGTCATGTGACTTCCCCCAGGTCACACCGGGAGAGAGCTGGAATATGAACCTTTATAGTCTGTGTGACTATAAAGCCCAGGCCCGACCGTCTGCCCCTCAATATAAAATACCTCCACTGGCCTCCACTATGGGCGGGACCACAACGTCTCACAACTGGCGCTTTTACTTAACGCTGACTCTCAGCCCTTTTTTATCGCCCGCACCGCCCCCCACCAAGACATTTTAATACTACAGATATACTGTATGTGTTTATGTACGAAATGTATGTGCTTGATAAAAAAATAATAATATGCTTTTTACTCCTCCATCCCCACCCGCACAACCAATTCTTGCTTGCCTGGGGACAACAGTATCTCCCTTGAGAAGGCATGACCCAATGCGATTCATTACTCAGATAAAGAGGCGCCCACCTGAATGACTGGCCCGACGCTCGTCCGACCCAGGATGGCCATCTGCCCTGCGTAGATGCGGTTCGCTCCATATTCACCTGCATGATCCACCCGGATTATTCGATCCACAGCTGCCCGACTGATACTGTCTAAGGTCACTCCCGAACTGCAAAATCTGACACTGCTTCTTCTATAAGCTGCAACGCAAGTGTTTATTCTCCATTACTCTCGGGTAAAACTGAGTTGTTTCCTTCATAGACAGAAGAAAGAGGCACCTTAGAGCAAAGGTCACAAATAAACTCCCCATAGGTGGGGTACGCCCACGGGTGTATTCTGTTTAACCTGCAATGGTTTTTGTTTTGTTTTTTGAAGTAAATTAGTTACCAATATTTAAAACATAGAAGATTTTAACTAAAGATCTGGACTCTGGCTTCAATCTAAGTGTCTGATGATCTAGAAATACTGATCCTGCCTTCTCACCAGGCAGTTAACGTGGTAGCTGCCTCTAGACGGGCACGGTTCTCCAGTCCACCCACTCGTGCCAGCTTGCTCTGTTCCCAACCCTGGCTGCACAGAACCCCTAGGGAGCTCTCAAAAGCACGGATGCTCCTCCCCAGTTGATCTCTGGGAGGGGACACAGATGTTTTTGAAAAGTTCTGTGCACAAATCCTCTCTGCAGCCACGGTTACGAACTGTAGATTTAATTTCTCCTAAAAATATCTGCACCCATGGGCATCTGACTTTGAGAATTTAGCCTTAGAGCTTAGGTTTCATCTCATTATGGTACTTAATTCAACTGAACTCTTCTTGCTTTCAAAATATAAATTCTTCAGGATATATTAGATTTTGTCTTTTAAAAAAATCTCCAAACAGCAACACCTTGACTGTAATCTCTGAGGCTTACATTAGGGCAGTCCCAAAGTTCTCTCCCCTAAGAGAAGAGTTTTGTAACATGTTTAGATGTATAAGGTGTTATCAACTCATTTTGAAGATATGGAAATAGAGACTCAGAGAGACCATTTAGTTTGGAATGTGAACTTTGACCTGTATCGATATCATCTTGAGATGTGTTTCAAGGCTCTTATGTATGACTACTGTGTGTTTAATAGATACTTCTTTTCATTTAGGCTAACTTGAACACCCACACAATGTGCAGAAAGTTTCATTTTGGATACATCTATAGTTTGTTTGTTTGTTTGTTTTTCCATTAAAAAAGGCTTGAGTGCTTTGGACACAGTGATGGAGTAGGCCTGATGAAATATGAGGGGGTTCTGCATTTGAACTTTTCAGGCAGGGGATTTTAAATGACTAAACAAAGGAGCAGTGGATATTAGGGGTTCGAAGCATGGTGACCCAGCTGTGATCCAGTCTTCCACATATAACCTGCTCCATCTCACCGAGCATATTTGACTCAAGAAACTGGATGGAGTCCAAGTTCTGCCAGGTGTAAGGTACCACTCAGATCTGTGCCATCAGACAGTGGGTCACTGTGGTCCGTGGCCATGCTTTTATGTGGAGAATAATTTGAGACATTTGAGAAAGTCAAGGTAACCTGTCTCAAGTTTTTGCCTCCAAGTCCAAGGACTGGTGCTTCCATCGGTCTGGCCTCCTTATAGAAAGATGGGGCCCAATTAAAATTGAAAACGATGAGATGACTCTATTTTTTAAAGTAATCTTGTTTGCTTGTTCTTTTATTTTGTTACTCCCATCCAGAAACGTGTTAATGGGAAAGAACTTTAAAGACAACTCAATACTCTTTTTTTTGGCCGCTCCCCATGGCTTGCGGGATCTTAGTTCCCCGACCAGGGATTGAACCCAGGCCCTTGGCAGTGAAAGCACCAAGTCCTAACCATTGGACCATTGGGAAATCCCTCAATACTCATTTTTAAGAAACCACTTACTGAGAAATAGCAAGGGGCTGAGTGCATAGGATGAGGGTGAGTTCAAACGCACATCTGACTTCTGATGGGTAGAATTATATTTCTATTAAAAACATACTTGAATTTTCCCTAGCACTGCAACACTCTTCCAGATTCAGGCACCTAATAAATGCTTTTTGGGAGTATGTGTGGAGGGTGGGGTATTGTAATATTTGCTATTTCTATCTTTTCATAATCTCTGCAAGGTCTCTTTAAAAAGTATGGGATGGATACTCCTGGATTGGAAAAATTAATATTATTTAAATGGCCAAACTACCCAGAACAATCTACAGACTTAATGTGATCCCTATCAAATTACCCACGGCCATTTTCACAGAACTAGAACGAATAATCCTAAAATTTATATGGAACCATAAACGACCCAGAATTGCCAAAGCAATCCTGAGGAAAAAGGACAAATCTGGTGGCATAACCCTCCCAGACTTCGGACAATATTACAAGCCTACAGTAATCAAAACAGTGTGGTACTGGCACAAAAACAGACATATGGATCAATGGAATAGAATAGAGAGCCCAGAAATAAACCCACACACCTATGGCCAATTAATCTTTGCCAATTAATATACAATGGAGAAAAGACAGTCTCTCCAGCAAGTGGTGTTGGGAAAGCTGGACAGCCAAATGTAAATCAATGCATTTAGAACACACCCTTACACCATACACAAAAACCAACTCAAACTGGCTTAAAAACTTACATATTAAGACATGACACCATAAAACTCCTAGAAGAGAACATAGGCAAAACATTCTCAGACATAAATCACACCAATGTTTTCTTAGATCAGTCTCCCAAGGCAATAGAAATAAAAGCAAAAATAAACAATGGGACCTAATCAAACTTATAAGCTTTTGCACAGCAAAGGAAACCATAAACAAAATGAAAAGACAACCTACGGACTGGGAGAAAATATTTGCAAACAATGCAACCCACAAGGGCTTAATTTCCAAAATACACAAACAGTTCATACAGCTCAATAACAAAAAAACAAACAACCCAGTCAAAAAAATGGGCGGAAGACTTAAACAGACATTTCTCCAAAGAAGACAAACAGATGGCCAACAGACACATGAAAAGGTGCTCAACATTGCTAATTAGAAAAATGCAAATCAAAACTACAATGAGGTACCACCTTACACCCGTCAGAATGGCCATTAAAAAGTCTACAAATGGGCTTCCCTGGTGGTGCAGTGGTTGAGAGTCCGCCTGCCGATGCAGGGGACACGGGTTCGTGCCCCGGTCCGGGAAGATCCCACATGCCGCGGAGCGGCTAGGCCTGTGAGCCATGGCTGCTGAGCCTGTGCGTCCGGAGCCTGTGCTCCGCAACAGAAGAGGCCACAACAGTGAGAGGCCCGCATACCACAAAAAAAAAAAGTCTACAAATAACAAATGCTGGAGAGGGTGTGGAGAAAAGGGAACCCTCCTACACTGTTGGTGGGAAGGTAAACTGGTGCGGCCACTATGGAGAACAATATGGAGGTTCCTCAAAAAACTAAAAACAGAGTTGCCATATGATCCAGCAATCCCACTCCTGGGCATATATCTGGACAAAACTCTAAATCGAAAAGATACATGCACCCCAATGTTCACAGCAGCACTATTTACAATAGCCAAGACATGGAAGCAACCTAAATGCCCATCGACAGGTGAATGGATAAAGAAGATGTGGTCTATCTACCTATACACACACACACACAGACAATGGAATACTCTTCAGCCATAAAAGAGTGAAATAATGCCATCTGTAGCAACATGAATGGACCTAGAGATTATCATACTAAGTGATGTAAGACAGAGAAAGACAAATACCATATGATATCACTTATATGTGGAATCTAAAATGTGAAATTATTAAGAAATTAACAAATGAACTTAAGAAACAGACTCACAGACATAGAAAACAAACTTATGGTGACCAAAGGGGAAAGGGGGTGGGGGCGGGATAAATTAGGAGTTTGGGATTAGCAGATACAAACTACTATATATAAAATAAACAACAAGGTCCTACTATATAGCACAAGGAACTATATTCAATATCCTGTAATAAACCATAATGGAAAAGGAAAAAAAAAGTACAGTATGGATCACAGATTGGCAAAACATTATTTCTAAAAATCTCCTTTACCAATATAGGAGATTTTTCTCTATTTGTAACCACTTTAAAATAGTAGAAATTACATTCTGAAATTCACCACATGGTCATTAGTGTTCTCTCTAGGTATTGGGGTTGACATACTAAATTTCTTCCTACTCCTTTTCTCTATTTTTAGTTTTTCTACAGAGAACATTATTGCTATTATTATTTCCACTTTACTGTTAGTGAGAACGTACATTGGTGCAAATTGGTTTCTTAAGGGGAGGGTTGGGAAGGGAAGATTTAGCAACATATTTCTACAGTATGGATCACAGATGGGGCACAGAGCTAGAGCCAGAAAATACATATCCTGTCTCTAACACAGACCTTAGACAATTCAGAATTGCCACTTCTTACATATAAAATTGGGAATGATCAGTTTATTTCCTTTTTAAGGGAAAACACGCAATAATAAAACCTTTCTTAATGAGTTATCATGAAGGTAAAATGAGATACAGGAAGCAAAGTAACTCTTTAAATGAAAAACAATGATTCTTATTCTGGTATTGGCTCAACTAAGGAGCATTAAAAATCATGTTCAACAGTCCTCTGAGTTTTGCCTGCACTGTCACACACTTTAAAATAAAACTGAGAAATAATATATAAAATTGAGGCCCAGTGCTATAAGCTCTCAAATGCATCATTTTATATTCATGTTTTCCCAAAATGTGAAACACATACCTATGATGGTACCTAGGAGGTTTCATGTGGTTTATAGGAAAACCTTAAGTGGCTACGAACATGCATTAAATAACACCCATGTTTTTCGGCAAGAGTTATTCTCTTCCAATTTTTTTGTCTTCATCAAGGAGATGGTCTCAGTTTACAGCTGACACATCTTAAACGTCTTCCTAACACTTGCTAACCTCCCTTTCTTACCAGAAAGAAAGATGATCTTGGGTTCAAGCCTTGGTAGGCAACAGTATCTAACACAATAACTTCTTGTTTTCAGCGTATTTATTTTTTATGATTACTTTTCTTGGGACAGGCGATACTGGTTTTCTGTTTACCATAAGGATCTAGTTTCCGTGAAATTACTTAATTTAAAATGGGACACGGTTTAGGGAAAAAAAAAAAAAACCTTTAGTAATCAAAATACAAGTGGTATTGCTATAAGGCAAAAGTCGTCAAGGTGGTACACGAATGATTTAACTTCGAGAAAATGACCTCACAATTTTCTGAGGCAGCTCGGATGAAATGAGGAAAGGAGGAGCCAGGATCCAGGCCTAAGTCTCCCTACTCCCAATTCGATACTCCTTCTAATACCCTGGTGCCTCTCAAACTTGCAAATGCACACGAATCATTCGAAGATCTTGTTAAAATACTGACATATCGATCCAGTAGGTCAGGGGAGGGACCTGAGAATCCGCGTTTCTAACAAGCTCCGGGGTGAGGGGTGGAGGTGTCGGGGGCAAGCGGACGCTGCTGGTCGTAGGACTACCTACGAGGCCCTGAGCAAAGGCTACGAGGAGGACACCCCCCACCCCCCCGTCCCCGGGACACTAAACTTTTAAGGTCGCCAACTGTCCTCAGTCCGGAACGCCGACCACACCTGCAGTGACGTCACGTAACAGGTGCGCAACTAGGTCATCCCCAATGCGCCGACCCGGAACCGGCGCTCCAGACGGTTACTGCGGAAAACCACCCCACTTCCCGCCCAGCGGACCCGCGGCGCACTACTGGCCTAGCCCCGCTTTTCCAGCCGCTCAGTCGCGCTCCGTCGCAGCCCTGTGACGTAGTGAACGTCTTCCCCGTGACCTCTCCGACCCAAGCCTCAGGAGAAAATTCCCCGGCTCGTCGGCACGGGGCGGGGCCACGGTAATGCTCCCCCTTTACCTGAGAGGGACCTCGGGGCGCCTGTGCGCAGCTGCCACAGACAGCAAGCCGCCGCCGCCCGGGTGCAGCTCATTGTCGCGACAACAGCGGAACCACTTCTTGAACAGAGCAACCGTGCCCTTGTCGCAGACTGATGACGCACGGCCGACGTAAGGCAGATAAGACCCGCTCTTGCCTCGGTGGAAACGCCCTGGGCCACCTGCTTCCACTCGATTGGTTGGAAACGTCAAATGAAAAGATTCTATTGGATGAGGTCACTATCAATCACTCAGACCGACCGGGTAAAGGGTTGCCATGGAGATGAGAATGCTAAATTGTTCATTCAAAGATCCCGACGGGGTAAAGATTACTCTAACTCAGTTCCTGGGAAGGAGGACCATGAAGGAATTGTTTACTGGCATAGCCATTGTGTTTTATGCTTTGCCAATATAGGAGATTTTTCTCTATTTGTAACCACTTTAAAATAGTAGAAATTACATTCTGAAATTCACCACATGGTCATTAGTGTTCTCTCTAGGTATTGGGGTTGACATACTAAATTTCTTCCTACTCCTTTTCTCTATTTTTAGTTTTTCTACGGAGAACATTTATTATTGCTATTATTATTTCCACTTTACTGTTAGTGAGAACGTACATTGGCGCAAATTGGTTTCTTAAGGGGAGGGTTGGGAAGGGAAGGTTTAGCAACATATTTCTTACTTTTAAGTCTATATCCAATCTGACAATGTAGACTCATCAATTGTAACAGATGTATCACTCTGGTGGGGGAGTCGGTGCATGTGTGGAGGCAGGGGGTATATGGGAAATCTCTGTACCTTCTTCAATTTTGCTGTGAACCTAAAACTGCTGTAAAAAAAATAAAGTCTTAAGATAAAAAAAATTGGACGCTTTAAAAAATGCATATCCACTGATACAACAATCCTACTTCTAGGAATCTATGGAACAGAAATAATTTTTCGAATGTGTAATGTATATGAGGGCAAAAAATCAAAGGTGCATACCTGAAAGGATGTACAGCAAAACGTTTAATAATGGTAACTTCAAGGGGTTGGGATAGTGAGAAGGGGGCTTTCATTTTTTACTTTACACCCTTGGAATACACACACACACACACATATATATATATATATATACCTCTTTATTGGAGTATAATTGCTTCACAATGCTGTGTTAATTTCTGTTGTACAACAAAGTGAATCAGCCATATGCATACATATATCCCCATATCCCCTCCCTCCCACCCACCCTATTCCACCCCTCTAGGTCGTCGCAAATCACTGAGCTGATCTCCCTGTGCTATGCAGCTGCTTCCCACTAGCTATCTTACGTTTGGAAGTGTATGTGTCGACGCCACTCTCACTTCACCCCAGCTTCCCCCTCCCCCAGCCCCCCCTCCCGTCCTCAAGTCCATTCTCTATGTCTGCGTCTTTATTCCTGCCCTGCCACTAGGTTCATCACTACCATTTTTTTTTAATTCCATACATATGCGTTAGTATACGGTATTTGTTTTTCTTTCTAACTTACTTCACTCAGTATGACAGACTCTAGGTCCATCTACCTCACTACAAATAACTCAATTTTGCTTCTTTTTATGGCTGAGTAATATATGTGCAGCATCTTTATCCATTCATCTGTTGATGGACATTTAGATTACTTCCATGTCCTGGCTATTGTAAATAGTGCTACAGTGAACATTGTGGTACATGTCTCTTTTGGATTTATGGTTTTCTCAGGGTACATGCTCAATAGTGGGATTGCTGGGTCATATGGTAGTTCTATTTTTAGTTTTTTAAGGAACCTCCATACTGTTCTCCATAGTGGTTGTATCAACGTACATCCCCACCAACAGTGCAGGAAAGATCCCTTTTCACCACACCCTCTCTAGTATTTATTATTTCTAGATTTCTTTTAATATAAATTTTTATTTATTTATTTTTGGCTGTGTTGGTTCTTCGTTTCTGTGCGAGGGCTTTCTCTAGTTGCGGCGAGCAGGGCCCACTCTTCATCGCGGTGCGCGGGCCTCTCACTGTCACGGCCTCTTGTTGCGGAGCACAGGCTCCAGACACGCAGGCTCAGTAGTTGTGGCTCATGGGCCCAGCTGCCCTGCGGCATGTGGGATCTTCCCGGACCAGGGCTCGAACCCGTGTCCCCTGCATTGGCAGGCGGATTCTTAACCACTGCGCCACCAGGGAAGCCCTATTTCTAGATTTTTTGATAATGGCCATTCTGACTGGTGTGAGGTGATACCTCATTGTAGTTTTGATTTGCATTTCTCTAATTATTAGTGATGTTGAGCATCTTTTCATGTGCCTTTTGGCCATCTGTATGTCTTTTTTGATGAAATGTCTCTTTAGGTCTTCCGCCCATTTTTTAATTGGATTGTTTTGATATTGAGCTCCATGAGCTGTTTGTATATTTTGGAGATTAATCCTTTGTCCGTTGTTTCATTTGCAAATATTTTCTCCCATTCTGAGGGTTGTCTTTTCATCTTGTTTATGGTTTCCTTTGCTGTGCAAAAGCTTTTAAGTTTTATTAGGTCCCATTTGTTTATTTTTATTTTCATTACTCGAGGAGGTGGTTCAAAAAAGATCTTGCTGTGGTTTATGTCAAAGAGTGTTTTTCCTATGTTTTCCTCTAAGAATTTTACAGTGTCCTGTCTTACATTTAGGTCTTTAATCCATTTTGAGTTTATTTTTGTGTATGGTGTTAGGGAGTGTTCTAATTTCATTCTTTTACATGTAGCTGTCCTATTTTCCCAGCACCACTTACTGAAGAGGCTATCTTTGCTCCATTGTATGTTCTTGCCTCCTTTGTCATAAATTAGGTGACCATATGTCTGTGGGTTTATCTCTGGGCTTTCTATCCTGTACCATTGATCTATATTTCTGTATTTGTGCCAGCACCATACAGTCTTGATTACTGTAGCTTTGTAGTATAGTTTGAAGTCAGGGACCCTGATTCCTCCAACTCCGTTTTTCTTTCTCAAGATTTCTTTGGCTATGGGCTTCCCTGGTGGCGCAGTGGTTAAGAATCCTCCTACCAATGCAGGGGACACGGGTTCAAGCCCTGATCTGGGAAGATCTCACATGCCACAGAGCAACTAAGCCCGTGCACCACAACTACTGAGCCTGCGCTCCAGAGCCTGCGAGCCACAACTACTGAGCCCGCGCGCTGCAACTACTGAAGCCCACACGCCTAGAGCCTGTGCTCCACAACGAGAAGCCAACGCAATGAGAAGCCCGCGCACTGCAGCAAAGAGCAGCCACCACTCACCACAACTAGAGAAAGCCCACGCACAGCAACGAAGGCCCAACGCACCCATAAATAAATAAATAAATAAAAAGATTGCCTTGGCTATTCAGGGTCTTTTGTGTTTCAATTACCCGTTACTATAAAATATTTAAGATACACTGCCATTGTAAAAATAACGTTGCTAATTGTTTTCAAATTAACACACTGCAATAATTTAAAATTATGATTGACTACCATATACCTTTTTAAATCCAAATAGTTGGTGAAAGTGAGGGTGTTGTAACATTCTCATGTAAAACTCCTGAGTATAAATCTAGCTCTCAAAAGCCTTAAAATCTTGGCCATAATCCCATTTCCAGGTCTCTGTCTCAAAAGAAAAAAATATATATATATTGACAAAGATTTGTGTGTCTCGGGCTTCCCTGGTGGCGCAGTGGTTGAGAGTCCGCCTGCCGATGCAGGGGACACGGGTTCGTGCCCCGGTCCGGGAAGATCCCACATGCCGCGGAGCGGCTGGGCCCGTGAGCCATGGCCGCTGAGCCTGCGTGTCCGGAGCCTGTGCTCCGCAACAGGAGAGGCCACAACAGTGAGAGGCTCGCGTACAGCAAAAAAAAAAAAAAGATTTGTGTGTCTCATTTATTGTCAGGGACATTTGAAAACAAAATGTTAAGCAGCAAGGGAATGTTAAAAAAAATGTGGGGACTTCCCCAGTGGCCCAGTGGTAAGACTCTGCCTTCCAATGCAGGAGTTGTGGGTTCGATCCCTGGTCGGGGAACTAAGATCCCACATGCCGTGGGGTGTGGCCAAAAACTTTAAAAAAAATTTTGATCCATCTGTATGATGTTATGTAACCTACTGAAATGCTTATAAAGAACTTTGGATAAAATGAGAAAACACTTATGAAAAAGAAATGAGAATACCAATTTTTTTCTTTCTCTTCTTTTCATCCTCCCTCCCTCACTCTGTTCTTTCTACCTTAAAGGGAATTTGCCAAGACTAACAGTGGATGTCCACACATATTGCTCATATATGATTTTTACTTTTGTTTTCTCTGTAGCTTTCAACGTTCCCTTTATTTTCTATAATAAACAAGTATTTTTGTAATGAGAATACAAAATTTCATAAAGAAAAGGCTTATTATTCCCTAATTCAATCCTCAAAAATAGAAGTGAATGTCTATATTATTTTTCCTTCTTTTTTTTTTTTTTTTGCGGTACGCAGGCCTCTCACTGTTGTGGCCTCTCCTGTTGCGGAGCACAGGCTCCAGACGCGCAGGCTCAGCGGCCATGGCTCACGGGCCCAGCCGCTCCGCGGAATGTGGGATCTTCCCAGACCGGGGCACGAACCCGTGTCCCCTGCATCGGCAGGCGGACTCTCAACCACTGCGCCACCAGGGAAGCCCTATTTTTCCATTTTAAAGATAAGGGATCTTTATCTCACAGTGGTAAAGACACCTGTACAAAATTACACAAAGTACAAAGCCATTCTATGTCCCCAGTACATCCCATGCATTGGAAAGACAATACACCAAATGGAATTTACTAATAAAGCAACACCCTATATAAAGAAGACACATTCAGAAGTTCTATCTTCCTAGGGATCAGACCTTGCAGTGCCATCCCAGGAAATTAATTCCTTTCTTCTCCAATACTTACCCAAGTGGGTATCTACAATCAGATATGTAGCTGCAAGAATTTACTTTGCTAACTTAAGAGTTAATGCAAACTAAAGACTTGCCAAACTGGATTCTTCTCTTTGCTGGAATTAGAATATTTTGTGATTGCAAGAAAGTGCAAGGCCACCTTGATAAAGAACAAGAACCTGAAGCCAATGGGATAGAACAGAGAAAAGAGAAATGTTTGCATGTACTTTCAAAATTCCAGCTCCGAGTACTTGTCATGAGGTGTGTGTGGGGTCCGGGGCAGGGGGATGGGAGGAGGGAGTGACTGAAAACTAAGTATCCAGTATTGGTGAATGATTATGAAAGTATACACTGACACAATGGAAGAATACCATGTAGTCATTAAAAAGAATGAGTAGCTACTCTCCATATAAAGATCTTCAAGATGTTATTAAGGAGAAAAAATGGAAAAGCTCATAAATAAATAAATATCACACATACAACTACAGATACATATCTGCTTGAATATATAATTTTCTGGGAGAATAAAATAAGCATTATTAGCAGTGTTTCCCTCTGGGAGGTGGGATGGGGAGTCTTGAAATAACTTTGTCTTTTAAGTTTAAAACACACACACACACACATCCCTCCTTGGCTTAAAAGCAAGTCTTAAAAGCACTCATTTGATGATTTTCTATAATTAAACACTTCTTTCTTCTGATTCTAGGAAAAGGTAAAGAGCAACTTTACAAACTGTTACAGCTTTCATGATCACCTGACTGCTAACAAGACGCCTCCAAGAATTCAAATACACAGAATCACATTTTAAAATCTTCAAGACATAGTTTAATCAGTAGTTGTAATGCACATTTGTTAGCGAGAGCTGCACTTTAACAATTATACAGACATCATCCGCAGTTATTAAAGTTATCAAAATATATAAAAACATTCAAGTAAGAAGTATGCAAATTAGCAGCATTTAACTAAAATGAATATATTAGCATATTTCAGTATAATAATAGGGAAAGAAAACAGCTTCCATCTCTCTCTCACACACACACACACACACACACACACACACCCCACAGAAAACTTGACTGTTTTCAGAAGCATGGTGAAGGCAAGAATGTTATACATATAAATTCTCTAGGCAAAAATGCCAACAATTTAGAATTTTTTAAAAGTGAGGATGGAATGAACTTCCGTTTGCTCAAAATTCCATGATACTAGTTATTAGACTTAAAAATTCATAAACCTTAACAAGATAAGAAAAGAAAACCTCATCAGTTTTATAGGTATAAAAATATCCCGTGTTAATACTACCTGTAGAAGAGCAGAAAAAAAAAAACTTTGGCAAAGGGACAAGTACACAGAAATATGTTAACTATGGTGAGTTTGTTTTGCTTCTCAGAGCAAGGAGGCAATCATTTTTGAGTAATGGGGGGAGGGGGGGAAATATACTTCACAGCAGCAGCTCTCTAAAACCTGCACCCACCTTTAAATTCCAGGCTACCCCCAGGAAAGGTTTAGAGCCAGTGAAAGGAAGGAAAACCATAGAAGGAAGGTACACACGGTCGTTACAAAACTACAGTACTTTGAAAAAGATTCTGAAGGTATTAGAATGAAAACTGCTTACATTAAACCATAATCTAAAAAAAACCCAAAAAAACAAAAAAAACATAATCTAGGCTTATATTAAAAGGTTTAAAGATATCAGTTTCAGTGATGAGGTATTTATCGCAGACGGTTTTTATGGCAACGGAAATCTGAAGAGATACTCTGCATGTTTTGTAAAATAAAATTAAAAATTTTAAGCACGAGAGAAACAACAGCCCTTACAAATATGAATACATACATTTAAGACGCCAGCATTCAGTCTAGTTTGGTCCACCGGCACAGGCTGGCCTGATGCTGCAACCCACATGCCGAAACACTCAAAGACTCAACGGTCCTTTCCAGCCTGGCTCCGAACCATGAAGTGTGATTGAGAGACCTCAGTGCAGGAAGGGAAACGGCTTTTGGAAGACTGAGAGACAAACTTTGCCTCTCCATACGGATGGCACTCTGCCAAGTCCCCAAACCCAGGACTAGAGGGACGGAAGTTTTGTGGATATCCAGGCCCTTAAAGGCAGTTTGCCCTGAGTAACAAAGCTGTGTCAAAATGCCCAGGAAGCTACGAAATCCAGGCTGCCATCCTGCCGCTGTTCCCCTCCTCATAGCGCTCAATCCAGGGCACTCGGGGCCTTGTTCATTCGCACAGCAGGAAGGGCTTTTCTCTCCTAGAATATTATTCTCATATTACATATTCTCATGTAGCTGAAATTACATAACCATCCTCTTCATGCTCCCACCATCTGGTCCAAACATCACAATTCAAGGGTTTCTCCATTTCAAAAAAAATCGAGTCTCCATTCTAAGTCTACAGAACCATCCTAGAGAGTCACTACTTCTTAAGGAACACCTCTCAGCCTAAACCCCCAGAACCTGGCTCCAAAGAACTAACCCAGGCTCATGGATAGATGACCTCTACAGTTAACTTTAAAAGACAATACAAATAAGCTTGTAGAACTATAAATGGTCTCTCCGCAATTTTGGTTGAAAACCTTCAATGGCTTCAGTGTTTTGGTTGAGCCTGAGCTGCTGGGCCTCAGGCAAACCTACTTTTCTAAGTCCCTAAAGCATTAAACAGGGGCTGGGTTATGTAAACACAGGCACTGGAGCTGCACGTATGGAACCACTGGCAGGAAAGGCCCAAATTCCAGAAAAATATATTTAAAAATTTCTGCTAAAACCTCAGGTAGATGGTGTAGGCTGGCAGGTCACCAGGCCAGCCTGTAAACCGCACACTGCAGCATCTCCCCGTCAGTCTAGCCGGTTCCTCATATCCCTCTGGGCTTCTGTTAGTTTCTGGATTAGATAACGCTTGTCACGACTTTCCTAAAAACACAGACAGGTTCAAGAGCACATTCAATATATTTGGAAACAAATATCATTATTTCGACCTAAGAAATTACCTATCAGACTTGGTAGGTAATAACCACTGGACCATGGCAATGACCTCCAAATTGCCTCTTTCACTCTTCCTCCCTCCCCAGCCCCTGGTCCACAAAGCGGCCTTGTAAAAATGTTCCTTTAAAAATGAACATCAGACTTTTACTTACCACCCTCCAATGGCTTCCCATCACACTCAGAATTAAACCCAAACTTCCCACCAGAGCCCTCAGGTGATGCTGTGACCCCAGCTATGCTGTGACTCTAGCATCGCCTTGCCTCTCCCCATCATCCTGCACCCTCCAGCCACACCGCCCTTCCCCCTGGGCCCAGCAGTGCCCAGCTCACTCCTCGATGCACCCTCTGCCTGTTACTCTCATGCCCAAGACCTCCCATAATTGGCACCTCTCATCATTCGAGTCTCAGCTCCACCATCGCCGCCTCCAAAGAGGCCTTCCGTGGCCACCATCTCAGCAGCAGACGGTCCACCCGCCACTCTAACTACCTCTCTGTATCATCGTCATACCAGTTATCGCAATTGGAATTTATCTCTTTTCTTTAACTACTAAGCAGCCTTGTCTCTCTTCTTCACCTGTGTATCCCAGCACAGTATGAGGATACAAATGTTGAGGGAATGGATGAGTCAGGGAATGAATGGGGCTGGAGGAGGCCGAGCCTGAAGGCAGGGTTCTGGGGGAGTGGTGATGGGAAATCCCACCCTCTCCCTGGGAAGAGCTCCCCATTCCTTTCAGTGTCCTGGGTAAATGTCCCAGCCTTGTCCCTGGGACCGGTGCTTTCTTACCAGGGACAGCTGCTCTCGGAGCTGGACAACCACCCGCTTGTGCGCTCCTGCTAGGGCGATGAAGTAGAACATGACGAGACTGCAACAAAAGGCGAGAGGTCACTAGGGAGTTTGTACCATCTGAAGGCCACTGGAAAACAACCCGACACACTTCGCCTGGAACAGTTTTACTTTTGTTAGAAAAAAAGAAAGAAAACCCTCACGTCTCCCAAGCAGAGGGCATCAGAAACAGCCAGAGGTATACATCTGAAACTAGCACAACATTGTAAACCAACTATACTCCAACAAAAAGAAAAGAAAAGAAAAAATGAAACAGGCAGAGGGGTTTTATTGGGCAGTGGCAGCAGAGACTGATTCCTGCTTTGCTTTCTAGAGTTAATATTAAACGCTGCTGAGGCTCCCCTGGCACACACATGAGAGGGGAGAGAGGAGGAGATGGGCCAGAAGGCCAGCTCAGCACAGAAAGAACTGGCTGTGGGTGATCACTGTGGAACCTCCCTGGCCTCAGTTTCCTCATCTATAAAATGGGGATAATAGAGGAAAATCCAGTGATAACAAGCCTAAGATAATACAATTTTGAATAAAAGCGACTGGCAATTGGTTCCTGTTTTCTGTGCAGGGGAGGTGGCTGCCTGTCCAGTCTCCCCAGAGAGGGCTGAGGGCCATGGGAATCAGTGATGTCAGTCTTCTCTTCTGGAAGTCCTCATGGCCAAGGATAAGAATGACCCCCAAAGATGTGGAAGCCAGATCAGGTAACCACCACCAGATGGTGCCGGCCAAACCACAGCTGGGGTGAATCGATTAGGATGGAACCGCTGGACTCTGAGATCCTTGCAATTCCAGGCTAACTGGCTGCAACCCCACATCATTTTATGAATATCAAAGGTATCCTGCCTTTAACAAATGAATTCTTTAACCCCTTTCTTGCATTATGGTGGGGTTTTCCTCTAATAATATCTATATCGTAGGATAACTGTGCTGATTGCATGAGTTAATACATGTAAGCTACAATCAATTCCAGTGATTTGTGGTACTTCTCTTCTGTTCTATAGTCTCCAGGAACACTGAACCAGTGCCCCGGGGGGAAATACAGAATAGGTTCCTTTATGCCCCTGGTCACAACATTTTTGTCAACTGATCAATACTGTGTTTTATGTTTCTTGAGAGAGAAGGTTATTAATACATAATCCTGTTTCTGTTTCAAGACACCTTATTTAATATCACTGAACTCACAGCCAACAGCACCATGACACGTGCCTGAATGAAGCTTATCTAACACACATATTTTCTTCATAAAACCCATCCCAGCCTTCTTGCACTTAGGAACCCTAGACAGCACTTCAGCTCTACGCGTGAACAGTGAAATCACCAACCAAAAGCACAAAATGCAAGAAACATCGCACTAAATGGATCACAAGAAGGACACTTAAGTTACAGTCTGAGCTATGGTTTGAATATTTGTGTCCCCCCCTCAAATTCATATGTTGCAAAATCCTAATCCCAAGGTGATGGTATTAGAACGTGGGGCCTTTGGGAGGTGATTAGGTCATGAGGAGCCCTCACAAATGGGATTAGTGCCCTTATAAAAGGGACTCCAGAGAGCACCCTAGTCCCTTCTGCCATATGAGAATACAAGAAGTCTGTAAGCAGGACGAGGCTCTTCATCCGACCATGCTGGCACTTTGATCTTGGACTTCCAGCCTCCAGAACCGTAAGAAATAAACTTCTGTTGTTGGGCCACCCAGTCTATGATATTTCACTATGGCAGCCCAAAGGCACTGAGACACTGTGCATCAGGCAACTCAAATTTTTTACTAGTCTATGCATGTCTACAAATAATCACCAAAAACAACACCATTAGTACTGATTTTGGGGTTACAAAAATATTTTAGCTAGTAAGCACATTTGCAATACAGAAAAAAATTACGGAATTTATGAATAATGAGAATGGGCTGTAATCAGAACAATGCCTAGTACAAAGTAAGTCCTCAACAGATATTTGTGATTAGAATTACACTCAAAGTGAATCACTGCACAAAATCCCTCGTCGCCCCTGCACCCAACACTTGTCATTTATCGAGCCTTCACTAAAGGCCAGGTCCTCTGCTAAGCACTTCACCATGTGTCCTTCTTCTCACAGCCCTACGAGGTGTGTGCCATTCTTATTCCCATTTTCCAGGTGAGGAAATCGAGGCTCAGAGAGGGTATGTGATGACCTGAGGCCACACAGCTTGTAAGTGGTAGAGCCAGGGTTCAAGTGCATGCTTCTAGTCTGGTGCTCTTCTCTCAGCCCAGTTACCAGTTCCTTTTCCAAAGAGCAACTAATTTTGTGAATAATCAGTAATATAATAATAGGCAACATTTCTTGGGTTATATTTTATAACTCAGGCTTCTGGCTAATTACAAGTGGGATCTCCCTGAACCTGCTCAGTGACCCTCTGAAAGAATTACTACTGGTCTTATTTTGACATCTTAGAGATGGAAAAGTGTGGCTCAGAGAGGTTTGGTACCATATCAAGAGGCGCGGTTGAGCTCCATTTTCCAGCGGAGAGGAGCCCACCAGCCACAGTGGAAAATACCTGCAGAATCCAGGTGGTTCTCACTCACCAGAGTATCATGAAGAAAGGCACTGCGAAGGCTTCCGACGTGATGCCATGGACCAGAGACTGCAGCGAGCTGGGGAAGGTGCTCACCATCTTGGGGACCACCTCCCAGGTGGTGTTGAAGTTGGTGAAGGGCCCACAGGCTTTGGAGGAAGGGATGCTACCAGGACACAGAGCACGGGGCTCAGGGCCAGGCCTGCAGCACAGGCTGAGCATCCCTCCTCTGCGTACCCACAAAGCTTTGTTAACAGTGACCCACAAGGATCCGCCTGACCTCATGGGCCTTCTGGAATATTCTGGTCAAAAATGCTTACCCTGAAATCTCATCAAGTCTCTAGACCTGACTTCCAGTTTATAGGAAATTCAGGACAGAAGGTCAAGTTTAAAAATAAGAGTTATCATATGATCCTGCAATCCCACTCCTGGGCATATACCTGGAGCAAACTCTAATTCAAAAAGATACATGCATACCCATGTCCATAGCAGTACTATTTACAGTAGTCAGGACGTGGAAGCAATCTAAGTATACATCAACAGATGAATGGATAGGAAGCACACACACACACACACACACACACACACACACACACACACACACAC